GGAGGCGGGAGGCTCCTGGGGAGCCTTTCGGGTCCCGGGGACTCTGGGAGGTGGGCCTCTCCCTCAGGACCCGAGGCCCTTGCCCAGCTGCCTGGGACCCCTTACCCGGACCTCCGAGGTTCTGGCACATGGTAGGTGCTTACTAAGTCCCTGTGAATGTTTGATGTGGAGGTTCTGTGTGATGGGCTGGGCCCCACAGGTCCCCACGGATGGCCGTCTGTGTGTGTGTGTGTGTGTGTGTGTGTGTGTGCGCGCGCGTACCCATGTGTACATGTGCGTACCCGTGTGTACATGTGCATGCCCGGGTGTACATGTGCGTACCTGTGTGTACATGTGCGTGTGTGTACATGCCCGTGTGTATGCGTGCGTACCTGTGTGTACATGTGTCCGTCTGTACGTGCCCGTGCGGTACACATGCACAGGCCGTGCGCCGCACTAGGGGGGCTGCTGCAGGGCCCCCAATGCACCTGCTTCCCAGGCCGGGGCCGCACCCTCCCCCTCGCATCTCCGAGGCCACATGCAGCGGCCTTGTGGCACCTCTGGGACGCCTGGCTCTGACCCAGGAGCCCACATAGCCGCTCCCTCGGGCACACAAACATGCCGCCCGCGTCCTGTCCACCTGCCCCTCCGGGAGTCCGTTCACCCAGCCCGCTGACCTCAGAACTGACGGCCCCCTCCCGGGGCCCGACGTGTAACCGGCGTGTGCCCACTGCCCGGCTGCCCCCCTCAGCTGCTGGGCCAGACTCAGGCCCTGAGGCCCGAGAGGCCATCTAGTGAGCAGCACCCTGGCCCCTGCCCCAGGGAGTGGCCACGGTGGATGGACATGGCCGGGGGACCCTCATGGGGTTCTCTCAGCTGTTGGGAGCCCCCAGCAGACAGGGCTGGGCTGGCCCTGGGCGCCGGCTCCTCTTAGGAGCACCCAGTGGGGCCGGGAGCAGACAGGGCCGTGCTGGGGACACAGCTACTTTCCCGGGAAGCTGGGCATGTGCAGGCCTGGCCCCCCAAAGGTCCCCCTCCTGCTCCCCCCAGGCAGGCCCCTCTGGCCAAGAGAAAGGA